TTAGTAAATTGCCCAAGGTAACTCAGTGAATAAGTTAGTGGAAGCAGGATGGTGCCAGAGTCCATCTTCTGGTCACTCAGCTCTGCTGCCTCTCAGGAAGGAAGATTGGTTCTTTCTCCTCCAGCTTCAGTGGCAGCTAACGGCCCTTGGGGCCCTGGATAAGTCACTGCCCCTCTCTGAGTTTCCCTTTTCTTCTCTGGGAAGCAGAGAGCACTCTCAACCTGGTGGCCTCCCAGGGATGTTGTAAAGACTTAAGCATGGGCTTCTCTGGAAGAAAATGGTGCCCTGACTGACGCAGCATTCTGGGGAGCAGATATTTCAATCTGGGCACTCTGCATCTTGTCCCCTGGATCAGGGATAAGGTAGGGGTCCTCTCTGAGCCCCATCAGCAGACCTACAGCTGGACCCACAGGAGACTTGAGGCCTCCCAAGGGGATCAAGGTTGGGGACAGTAACGAGGACACTGGTAGAGAAAGCCCTTCTCTCTTAAAGCAAGTGCATGCAGAGAAAGGCATATACTGTGCCTACAATTTGCATCCGGGCCAAGGTCCCCAGAGCTCAAGTATATTCTTATGGGCTATTTATAGTCTTCAAGAAATTAAGAGTTTTCTAATGGAAAGCTGACAGACTCCAGCTGGTCAGGCCTGCCAAGGACTGGCGGGGGAAAGAGTGGGAACCACGGGGGAACGGGGAAGGACTCTGCACTCCCTAGTTTCTCCTTCCTGTCACTGCCTGGGTAGGCGAGGAGGCAGAGCAGAAAAGGGCTGGAGAGGAACCTCCCCTTGGCTGAAGGCCCACACCTCTCTGTGGCCTTCACCCTCTGAGGGTGAAGCCAGATGCCTGGACCCTTGGAGTTGAGAGGTAAGCTCCTTTACTCCAATCCCGTCATTTTACAGATGCTGGAACTGTGGCTCAGAGAGGGGTAGTAACCTATCCAATGTCACATAGCTAGTGTGACCAAGATAAGCTCTGGTTTTCTGGCCTGAGCTCTTCCGTGTCAGGATTCCCACCGTAAGCTTAGTATAAGACCTGAGAAGCTGGCTGGAGACATCCCCTAGGGGGCGACAGGGGGAATTCAACAACCAGTG